TAAATCCAAAATGTCCGTGTTTTCAAGAAGCAGCCAATCTTTCAGCCAGCAAAATGCGGCTGATTCATAATAAAGTTTAAGATCTGGCAGGGCAAATCCACCTCTTTCTTTAGCATCAGTTAAAATCTTAAATTTTATTCTTGGCTTCTTGCCCTGCCAGACAAATCTCGAAATATCTCTCTGCCATTTCTTGAAACAGTCCATCTTGTCCAAAATCTGCAATGTTTGAAACAAAAACAACATCCTAGGCAATACATTCATCTTTATCACAGCAATTCGGCCCAACAATGATAACTTCAATTTTGACCATATTTCCAAATCCTTTTTCACTTCCATCCAACATTTTTCATAATTATCTTTAAATAAATTCACATTTTTAGCAGTCATATGAACCCCTAGATATTTCACTTTCTTAACCAATATTAATCCTGTCTCCTTCTGAAACCTCTCTTTCTCAATCGCTGTAAGCTTTTCTCTAACACCTTGGTTTTCACCTTATTCAACTTAAATCCTGCTACTTGACCAAATTCTTGAATTAATTGCAATACTCTTTTGGTACTGGATTCTGGCTCCTGTAATGTCAAAACCAAATCATCAGCAAAAGCTTTCAATTTATACTGTTTGGCTCCGAGTTGTATACCTTTAACCAATTGGTCTTTCCTGATCATATTAAGCAGAACCTCCAGGACCGATATAAAAAGCAATGGGGAGATTGGGCAACCCTGTCTTGTTCCTTTCTCAATCTTAAACTCTTCTGTAACTACGTTATTTACAATCAACTTAGCTTTTTGTTCCGAGTAAATTGCACCTATACCGTTTTCAAAGCCTTGGCCTACCCCCATTCCCTGTAAATTTTTCTTCATAAAACTCCAAGAAATATTATCAAAGGCTTTCTCCGCATCCACAAATATTAGAACTGCTTTAGTGTTAATATTAACTTGTAATTTTTCTAAAATGTTAATTATATTCCTCGTGTTATCTGACAAATGCCTCCCCGGGAGAAAGCCCGCTTGGTCCTTATGGATTTCGGCCACCTCTGGGCCACCGATGAGCTCATGGTAATATGCTGGGTGTTGCAATTAGTAAAGCAAATAATTTAAGCACGTGTGATAGTGTGCTCATTTAGCACACTGATAAATGCTTGGTTAAGTCATCCATTTTCAAACAGCTCTGACAGGAACATTAGACTGCACTCTCACTCGCCCACAAAATCTCTAGTAATTTCATTCTTAGAAGCAAAACAAAATAGCCAACGTTGCACCTTGTTGACTTGTTGTAAATAAAAATTGCCCTTTTCCCTTTTGGGGTATCCAAGAGCCCATATAGAGTCCTTACATAGGTTCCCTATTGGTAGGAGAGAATAACAGAGGCCAACCAGAGAATATTGAGAAGCAAAGCAGCTAGTAAGCTTGATCTTTATTGATCTGTTGCAACAGGGTGCTCCCCTCACCCGTAGGAGGGAGGAGGAACCCAGAAAAATGGCACGCAAGGCCTTATAAAGACTTTTGAAATACCCATCCTGTAGATCAGGACCATCCCCAGAAACATCATACATACATCACAGAAGGGGTGTAACCTAAGACCACCCCTCAGATACATCATACCTACATCACAGAAAAGGCGGTCTAAAACAGAAATTTGAATGTTGTTTTTCTCCTGTCGTTGCTTATCTCCTGTCTGGCAGGTTACTTGATTGGATTTCCTGGGGAGCCTGGCCAGTCTTTTGTAATGATAAATACTTAGTTCCTGGGCCAGGTCACAGGCTCACACCCTATTCATATCTTAAATGTGCCCTTAAGGCAGGATTTGTGAGGAAAGAGACAATGGGGAGGTTTCCCACTTTGACCTTGCAGAGAAAACATTTCCTCAGTTTAGGAATCAAAATGGTTCCAGGTTGGTCTTCCTGTGCTGATCTATGTACGTGCTTGGTTGGTACACTTATGAACATTACCATATGTGTTATATAAGTTATAAGTTAAGTTGTGGGTGAACATATCAGACGACACAGCGATTCTTCAAACAGCTCTTGTTTATTCACAGTCCAGGCCAGAACTGAACTGAAGGGTTCAGCCAGCCTGCTTATATAGAGCTCCAGTACAACGTAACTGTAACAATTTTCTAAAACTATCCAATCACTGAACGTCACTTTCGATCCCTTATTTGCATAACTATCTACAGTATCCCCCATAAAATTCCTACCACAGACTGGAAACTGCACACAGTTATACACAAATTGTCATGGAGGATAGTTCTGTCTGGCGGTTGGTACTAAATTAAGCTTCCACTTTCAGAGGCAGTATACCCCATAATATTATGTACGGGGAGGGAGACAAAGGAAGAGGTGGAGAGGCTGCAGCCTTATGCCCTGATTATGAGCTTGAGCCATCTCTTGCCAGTAACCGAATGCTGAATGAGATGGACTAACCAGCTTTGAGGTGTAATAAACAAAATCTGCCCTTATTCCCTTATGGGGGACACAAGAGCTCTTATAGGGTCTGTTGTAGGTTCTCCATCGGTGTTCGGGGATCCAAGGTACGACTGTATAATGAATTGAAAAGGATGTTTAAAATAACTTTTGTAAAGAAAAACCCAGAAGCTTTTCTTTTGGGAATTATAGTGACAGAACTACCTAAGCTGTACAGAAACTTATTCATATATGCTACTACAGCGGCAAGAATGTTACTTCCCCCAAATGGAAAGAAGCAGAAGTCGCAGCAAAGGAAGAATGGATACAAAAACTTGTGGAATATGCAGAAATGGCGGAACTTACTGGAAGAAAAAGAAATCAAGACAACAAACCTTTTATAAAAGAATGGCAATAGTTTATTGAATATTTAGAGATAAATTGTAAACAGATAAGAACATTGGCAGGATTATTGTAATAACTTGCAGTTTTATAAGAGTACAGTGGTACCTCGGGTTACAGACGCTTCAGGTTACAGACTCCGCTAACCCAGAAATAGTACCTTGGGTTAAGAACTTTGCTTCAGGATGAGAACAGAAATCGCGCGGCGGCAGCGTGGCAGCAGCAGGAGGCCCCATTAGCTAAAGTGGTACCTCAGGTTAAGAACAGTTTCAGGTTAAGAACGGACCTCCAGAACGAATTAAGTTCTTAACCCGAGGTACCACTGTATATATTTAAAGTAGATGAGTAAATGAGCAAATTAAGTTAATTTGGATATGGAGAAGGTATTAAAAATAAATTTAAGGAACAGCAGAAAGAGGGGAAAGGAAGTCAAGTTTTGAAATGTTAAAATGATTGTAAAATTAGTGAAATGTATACATCTGAATAATAATAAAAATAAAAATAAAAATAATAATATAATAGATGGGTCTCTGGCCTGATCCAGAAGATTATTCTTCTATGTATGTCCTTGTGCCTTGCCAATGACTCTCCCTTTTCCTCTCCCTCTTCCCCAACAGTGAGCGTGGTCGATTTCTGCGGCCAGACCCTGCACGGGGATGGGATGGTGTTGACATCCCACCGAGACTCCCGCCGTTACTACTTTGTAGTGACCAGCACCGACTGCCAGCTGACCATGCAAGCGGCAACCCCCAAAGACAAGGTCCAGTTCCAGTTCCGCTTCTTCCTGGTGTACAGCATGGTGCGCTCGCCTTCCAGCACGCTGGCCAGCAACGACCACCCCACTCTGGCCCTTCCCAAGTCCAGAAGGGAGCGGAGACCCCTGACCCTTGCACAGCAGGCTCCTATGTGCAATTCTACGATGGCCAAAACCACACCGCCAAGCCCCTGGGGATGCCGCTGTGCGGGAAGAACATCCCACGGCCCGTCGTCTCCACTGGCAACTTCCTCACCTTGAGGCTCGTGACTCGCGGCCAGCAACCTCGTGTCGACTTTGTCGGTGACTTCACCTCCGTTCGAACTGGTAAGGCGGGAAGCAGCTGTTGTAAACAAAAACGGCCCTTTTCCCTTATGGGGTATCCAAGAGCCCATATAGAGTCCTTACATAGGTTCCCTATTGGTAGGAGAGAATACCAGAGGCCAACCAGAGAATATTGAGAAGCAAAGCAGCTAGCAAGCTTGATCTTTATTGATCGCTTGCAACAGGGTGCTCCCCTCACCCAGAGAGGAGGGACCCAGAAAAATGGCGTGCAAGGCCTTATAAAGACTTTTGAAATTGCTACCCTGTAGATCAAGACCACCCCCAGAAACATCATACATACATCACAGAAAGGGTGTAACCTAAGACTACCCCTCAGATACATCACACCTACATCACAGAAAAGGCGGTCTTAAAACAGAAATTTGAATGTTGTTTTTCTCCTGTCCTTGTTTATCTCCTGACTGGCAGGTTACTTGATTAGATTGCCTGGGTAGCCTGGCCAGTCTTTTGTAGTGATAAATACTTAGTTCCTGGGCCATGTCACAGGCTCACACCCTATTCAAACACAGACATACCCTTAAGACAGGATTTGTGGAGGAAAAGACAATGGGGAGGCTTTTCCACTTTGACTTTGCAGAGAAAACATTTGCTCAGTTTAGGAATCAAAATGGCTTCAGGTCAGTCTTCCTGTGCTGATCTATGTACGTGCGGTTATGAACATTACCATATATCAAAGACCTCAAAATTCCTATCACACAACTCCAAATGAGCTGAGCAATCTTCATTTTATTTTATTTTATTGCATTTATATCCCACCTCTTTTCCAAGGAGCTCAAGGTGGTGTATGCCTCCTCATTTAATCCTCCCAATCCTGGAAGGCAGGTGAGCCTGAGAGGCAGCAACTGGGCTCCAAGGTCACCCAGGGAGTTTCATGTTGCCCAGTGGGGGGATTTGAACTCTGGTCTCTCCTGAGTCCTAGTCCAATACTGTAACCCTAAGGGTAAGGTGCAGGTGATGTGGACTACCGGGCTGCTGTCAGGGTAACTGGCGCTGTGGTCTAAACCACTGAGCCTCTAGGGCTTGCCAGTCAGAAGGTCAGTGGTTCGAATCCCCGCGACAGGGAGAGCTCCAATTGCTCTAAACAGCATTTCCTTGCACTCTGGTTTCCGTCATGGTGTTCCGTTGCGCCAGAAGCAGTTTAGTCCTGCTGGCCACATGACCCGGAAAGCTGTCTGTGGACAAACACTGGCTCCCTCAGCCTGAAAGCGAGATGAGCGCCACAACCCCTTAGTCACTTTTGACTGGACTTAACCGTCCAGGGGCCCTTTACCTTTTAAAAATTTCAACACTGGTGTTAAATGCCTTTTAACTATCCTTTTAAGCTAGTTTGGGAGGTACATTCTAGGCAGTGCTTTTTATCTGGGGGTGCTCAAAGGTACACTGTACCAGCACCTCCCCCCCCCCCATGTTAAAAGTGTGGCACTCACTGTAACAACTTCATGGTGAGCACTGCCCCCTTTTTTCTATAAAAAAAGCAGTGATTATAGGTACATTAAACAACAAGAACAGCAAAATCTGCCTTTCCCTCTTCTTGCAGGCTTGAACGCTTCGGCCTGCAGCACGGAGTCGTATTTTCCCTGCCACAATGGCAAGTGCATCCCTCCCAGCCTAGTCTGCGATGGCAGCAGTGTCGATAACTGTGGGGATGGTACAGACCAGGCTTCCCAGTCCCCAGCCTGGTGCAAAGGTTGGTGGCTGTAGAAGGAAGAGGGTGTGTGTATGTGCTGTTATAAGTAAATAAAAACCTCCTCCTTTTCCCTTATGGGGTACCCAAGAGCCCATATAGAGTCCTTTTGCAGATTCTCTCTCGGTAGGAGAAAATTACAGAGGCCAACCAGAGAATATTGAGAAGCAAAGCAGCTAGTAAGCCTGATCTCTATTAACTGTTGCAACAGGGTGCTCCCCCACGCGCAGGAGAGAGGAGGAGGAAGACCCCGAACCATGCGCGCAAGCCCTTATATAGACATTTTAAATTGCCCGCCCTGGAGTCCAAGACCACCCCCAGAAACATCATACCTACATCACAGAAAAGGCGGTCTACAACAGAAATCTGAGTTCATTGTTTTTATCATGTCTGCCAGGTTACCTATTAATGGTCACTTGACTGGATTACCTGGGGAGCCTGGCCAGTCTTTTGTTATGATAACTACTGGGCTCACACCCTACTCATATCTCAAAAGTGCCCTTAAGTCAGGATTTGTGAGCAAAGAAACAATGGGGAGATTTCCAATTTTGACCTTGCAGAGAAAAATTTGAGGTCAATTTGTTCTGGACTTTTTCTATGGGGTTTCAGACATGTGGTTTATATACAGTTATGAACATTTATTTTATATATTTATTACCTTAAAATTCTTATAACAGTGCCATTCCTTGCTCATGATCACTTTAAAAAATGGGTGAGAAAGTGAGGCTGAATGCCTGAGCCTGATGTCTGCAGCGGCCCCTTAAGTTGTTAGGAAAGGGAGTGTAGCCTTATGTAGCCTTATGAGGCTTTGCCCTCGGGTGGGAAAAATATTGCCCCCGGGAAAGGGAAAATGGGAGTCAACAGACACTCAAACAATAGTTTCGGAGAAAAAGCTTTATTTCTACCATCCATGAACTGGTAGAAGGAGCAAGTGTGATAACTCTCAAAAAGCATGCACGAGTTCACAGTCATTTGCACAGAGTATATATTCCCCTTCTAGTTCCCTCCCCTTTCTCCTCCCTCAGGAGTCCTGCCCATGAGTTCCTCTGAGCATGAACAGAAAGCTCCCCTGTCTTGGGACTCTTTTGGACTCTTGGCACCCTTCCCAGGAAAGGGGAATGAGAGCGGTTCAGCATGTCCAAGAAGTTGCAACTAGAATGAGATAAAAGTCAGTTCTCAGGCCTGCTCTGACATAGTCTATTCATTAGCTTTTTGAAGCCTTCTCGTGCTGATAAAAGTAATAGTTTTGCCTTGCAACAGCAGAGCAAATGAGCAGATGCTTAGCTGCTGAGAAAATGATTTTGAAAAGCTTTGAGAAGCTTTGAGCCTGCTTTGGGGGGGGGGGTGACTTCGGGCCTAGGTGGGGTCACCTGTCCGCACCTTTCTTCAGGAGGAGGCTACGCCCCTCTGCTTTGGTTTCTCCGTGGCAGCACAGAGGCCACTACTGTTTTTGACTCTTTCTCCTTTTCAACTCCAGGCTCACCCACGCTCCTGCCGCCCTTGAATAATGCCGAGGCCTCTTCTGCAGTTAACGCCCTGCCAAGTCAGGTGACCTGCGCAGGACCCCAGGAAAGCCAGCTCCTGCCCCCAGGCACTGCCACCTGGGACAAAACAGGTACAGCAGCACCATTGCTGGCAGGAATGAGGCCTTGTTTGTTGTTTGGTTGTTTATAGTGTGCCATTTGTGAACTCCCTGCCTGTTGATACCAAGCAGGTGGCTATCACTCTACTCTTTTCAGCTAAAACCACAGTTCTTTCTTACCTACAAAAGGCGATTCTATGTTGTTTGGCACAATGGCAACTCTTCAGCTCATCCACTCACTCTAACCCCCATCCAAGTCTCCAGAAAAACAGCCTCATTCAAAGCATTTGAGGGTAACTCCCAGATCACTCTTATCTCCAGAGTGATAGTCAGACTATGTTATCAATCACCAAGTCAGCAGGAGCTAACAGGAAGACAGAAAAACCGCCATTCATCTCACCTGGAAATCTGCTAAAAACATTTTTTTTAAATAATATTTATGCTTTTCAGGTCTACATTTCACTAATTTTACAATCATTTTAACATTTCAAAGCTTGACTTCCTTCCTCCTCTTTCTGAGGTTCCTTGAATTTATTTTTAATATCTTCTGCATATCCAAATTAACTTAATTTGCCCATTTATTCATCTACTTTAAATATATACTGTTATAGAACTGCAGGTTATAACAATAACCATGCCAACGTTCTTATCTGTTTACAATTTATCTGTAAATGTTCAATAAACTATTTCCATTCTTTTATAAAAAGTTTGTATTCTTGATTTCTCATTCTTCTGGCAAGTTTCGCCATTTCTGCATATTCCATAAGTTTTTGCGTCCATTCTTCCTTTGCTGGGACTTCTGCTGCTTTCCATTTGGGGGAAGTAACATTCTTACCGCTGTAGTCGCATACGATGAAGAAGTTTCTGTACAGCTTAGGTAGTTCTGTCCCTATAATTCCCGAAAGAAAAGCTTCTGGTTTGTTGTTGTTTTTTCGCAAACGTTATTTTAAACATCCTTTTCACTTCATTATTTATCATATATAAAACATTTTTGTATAGCTAAGCCTATCCACATGCTTAGAAAGTTAAAGTGAATTTGAATCTCTTAGTATTTTAAATTTTTCTAGGTTTTATTGTTGTAATTTTTTTATTTTCTTGTTCTACCCTTTTTTGTAAACTGCTCCGAGTTTTTCTTTACAGTCAAGCAGTGTCTATGTTTTTTGAAATGAAGAACAGTATCAAAATAGCACAGCTGGGGCAATTGTTTGCTGGGGAACACGATTTGTTCCATTTCCCTGCACCTCACCAGGCTCCTTCTCCTCCTTCTGCAGACAAACGCAAACCTCTTTTTGCTTCGCTGGCTGCCATCCTGGGCGCTGCCTTCGTGTTCTGGTGCTGCTGGAATCCAGGCTGGTTCATCTGGAGGATGGGCGCCTGCAGGTACCTGCCCGGTTGCAATTCCGTCTGCGCTGCCTGCCACCTCTGCCCACGCAGCTGCACCCGCCGGGAGCCCCCCAAGGTCACCCCGCATGGAAGCACAGAGCCACCCGTGTGACTCCTAGATGGGGGGCAGGATCACAGGCCCTTAGTTTTAGAAGAGCATGGGCCAGAAGGGGTGCAGCTGGCAGCGGAGGCATGATGGGGCTAAGCCAGGGGTAGGCAACCTAAGGCCCGGGAGCCGGATCTGGCCCAATCGCTTTCTAAATCCGGCCCGCGGATGGTCCGGGAATCAGCGTGTTTTTACATGAGTAGAATGTGTCCTTTTATTTAAAATGCATCTCTGGGTTAATTGTGGGGCCTGCCTGGTGTTTTTACATGAGTACAGTGGTACCTTGGGTTAAGAACTTAATTCGTTCTGGAGGTCCGTTCTTAACCTGAAACTGTTCTTAACCTGAAGCACCACTTCAGCTAATGGGGCCTCCTGCTGCCGCTATGCTGCCGGAGCACAATTTCTGTTCTCATCCTGAAGCAAAGTTCTTAACCGAGGTACTATTTCTGGGTTAGCGGAGTCTGTAACCTGAAGCGTATGTAACCCAAGGTAACACTGTAGTATGTTTCCTTTTATTTAAAATGCATCTCTGGGTTATTTGTGGGGCATAGGAATTCGTACTTCTTCCTTCCCTCCAAAAAATATAGTCCGGCCCCCCACATGGTCTGAGGGACGGTGGACCGGCCCACGGCTGAAAAAGGTTGCTGACCCCTGGGCTAAGCAGACATATGTATAATGGCTGATCTCCCACAAGGTGGCAGGAGATGCCTGCTTCTTTCCTCAGTGGGTTCAAACTAAGGCTCCCTTCCAGCACCAGGCCTTGAGACAAGCTCACATCCACACCATGCATTTAAGAACACAAGAAGAGCCTGCTGGATCAGGCCAATGGCCCATCTAGTCCAGCATCCTGTTCTCACAGTGGCTGCCAAGATGCTTGTGGGAAAGCTGTAACCAGAGCACAAGGGCACCCTTTCTTCCTGTACTTTTCGGCAACTGGAATTCTTAAGCATTCGCTGCCTCTGACCTCCATGGATTTCCCTGATGCTCTATCGAAGCCTTCTAGATTGGTGGCCGTCACTGCCTTCTGTGGGAGGGAGATCCCTAGTTTAACTATGTACTAAGTAAAGTAGTATTTCCTATTATTATTATTATTATTATTATTTTATTATTAATATAATGCCCTATACCTAGAGGTCTCAGAAAAGATCAACATAAAAGCCACAATCTATGTAATCAAAATAAAAACAACCTGTGGCGTTTGTACGGCGCTCCTGGTCGTCTCATGGACTATTGACCCGTACAACACTAATCTGCTGCCACCAACCAGGTCCTCCCGGGTAAATCACTTTGCCTCAGTCAGGTTCTCAAGTTAACAAAGAAGAGTGTAGTTTATTGCAGACACAAATTTTAACTGCATTCCAAACGTTGTTACTCTTTACCTTCTTAGTCCTATTTTATCCTGTCTCTATCTCTTCTACCTCCCCTCACACAAGAACCCACTGCATTAACTGTCTCTCTATTTCCAACTGCCTTTCCCAACCAAACAACCCACTAAAACCAACCAACTACCCACCAACAAGTAACTCAAACTTTGGGCTAAGCCCTTTTATAAACAGGTAGGCTCTGCCTCCAGCTTTCCTATTGGTTTACATTTTTAGCCCTTTCTCCCCGCCTGTACAGTTTCTAAACGAACAGGCAAACCCCACACAACCCAATAACAGCCCCCCCCAAAGGAGCCGCATTTTAAAAGGGTATAGGATGTCAAACAGGTCAACCAAAGGCCTGGTAAAAGAGGAACGTTTTTGCCTGGCACCTAAAGGTGTATAATGAAGGTGCCAGACGAACTTCCCTGGGGAGAGCATTCCACAGATGGGGAGCCACTGAAGAGAAGGCCCCGTTCTCATGTTGCCACCCTCCGGACCTTTCGAGGAGGAGGCATAGGAAGGAGGGCCTCAGAAGATGACCTCAGGGTCCAGGTAGGTTCATATGGAAAGAGGAAGTTCTTGAGGTATTGTGATCCTGAGCCGTTTAAGGCTTTATAGGTCAAAACTAGCACTTTGAATTGGGCCCGGAAACTAATTGGTAGCCAGTGCAGTTGGGCCAGGATCGGTGTAATATGCTCAAACCGTCTTCCTCCGGTGAGCAACCTGGCCACTGAATTCTGACCCAGCTGAAGTTTCCAAACAATCTTCAGAGGCAGCCCTACCTATAACGCGTTGCAGAAATCTAACCTTGAAGTTACCAGAGCACAGACAACAGTAGTTAGGCTATCCCTGTCCAGATAGGGGCCAAATCTTCCAGTATTCAGGATGTGCAAGAGTTCTTGTGTCATATACCACTTTGGTTTCATGGAATCAACCAATTGCAATGCAGGAATCTCTGCTACAGCATCCTTGACAGATGGCAATCCAACCACTGCTTGAAATCTCCCAAGGAAGGAGAGTCCACCACCTTCCTCTGTTGAACAGCTCTTGGAACTGAACTTTTAAGGGTGCTTAGGAGACCCACCCCCCTTACAAGAGGATTTTGGGGGGAAAGTCATGACCGTTAAAGTGGCCCAAAAACACTTTAAAGGTTTGGTGTGTGGATGGGGTTTCTCTTTTGCTCTGGGCCTGAGATCTTTCCTCTTAAGCAAGCAGTCAGCTTATGACAGGGGAAGGAAAGCCTGTGTTCATCTAGCTGACTTCCCACTATACGAAAAGAAAAAGACCCAAGTTGTGGTATCAAGTCAAAGGAGACTCACAGATGTTCTCTTGTTTTATATTGAGGCACCAAGTCGGGCACCTGTTCCAGGGATGGTATAGGAGACTGGGAATGACAAGCTTTGAAATGTGGGTATTTTAGATCAAAGGTTTTCAACCTTTTTGAGTCCATGGCTCTCTTGACGCAACTACATTCTTTCTGTGGCACCACAGTGGGGCTCAGGAGCCCAGTTATGTCACCCCTTGCTTGCAGAGCTGGCAGCCTCTCACCCTTTTTCAAACACCCTTCATTGTGGAGTGTTCCCTCAGCCGCTGTCTCCTCTCCCATTTCCTTGGGAGTCCTCTGGGCAGCAGCTGCTGCCACCCCTGGTCTTTGAGCTGCCCCTCTGCCCCAAAGAGAGGTGCTTCCCAGAGGCACCGTTCGCCTGTGGAGCTTATAGCCAGGGCTGCTGCAATAAACAGCCGCACAAGCCTTTGGGAGGCAGAGACACAAGAGGGCATCAGAGGAGGAAGGGAAGGAAAGAGGGACAGAGGCCAGTGTTGCCCTGGCACCCCTGACCATCATTCAAGGCACCCCAGGGTGCCATGGCACACTGGTTGAAACCCACTGTTTTAAAACACAGGACTGTTCTTCATCTGTTCCCAGCATAGTCATAAGGGAAGGCAGAACACACTGGGAAAAGGAAAGTACTGACATGGAAGGGATTTTTTACTTATTTTGGGATGTGCAGCTGATTTACCAGGCTTGGTATGTACAAAATCAACCCAGAGACCAGTATGGAATTTCTCTGCCCTCCTGTGTTGTTTTCAGTTCCCATTGGCCAAGCTGTTGCAATGCTGTCCAAGGCAAAAGGTAAAAAAGGTAAAAGACCCCTGGATGATTAAGTCCAGTCAAAGGCAATTATGGGGTTGCGGCAAGGAAGCCGGCGTTTGAACACAGACAGCTTTCCAGGTCATGTGGGCAGCATGACTAAACGGCTTCTGGTGCAATGGGATACCGTGACAGAAACCAGAGTGCACGGAAATACCGTTTACCTTCCCGCCGCAGCAGTACCTATTTATCTACTTGCACTGGTGTGCTTTCGAACTGCTAGGTTGGGAGGAGCTGAGACCGAGCAACAGGAGCTCACCCTGTTATGGGGATTTGAACCGCTGACCTTCTAATTGTCAAGCCCAAGAGGTTCAGTGATTTTGCCCACAGCGCCACCCGTTAAAGCACAATCTGTCCCACAAAGAATCCCAAGAACTGTTGTTTGCCCCTCCCAGAGCTAGTCCCCAGCACCCTTAACAAGCTAGTTCCCAAGATTTGTGTGCGCATGTGTGCTTAAATGTACGGCATGCACACAACCTCAGCTAAGACAGGGAGCCACAGACTTGACACACGGACTTTGGGGTTCAGCACCATTTATTTAAGAAAGAAAGAAAAAGAACAAATGGGGAGGCAGGCAGGGAAGCAAAAGGCAGGAACAAGTTCTGGAGTGACACAAGCATCATGGTGCCTCCCAGGCAGTATAATTCTGGTTCTGGAAGGAAGCAGGTAAGGCAGAGTGAACACTGGTGGCAAAGGCTCACATGGGGCAAGCCAGAGCCAGCCACACTATTAAGGGAATGTGGGAGGCTGGCTGGAGCACAATCCTGTGAGGCCCAAGCTCAAAAGATAAGCCCTCTAGTGCCTGCTTGGCACCAGCACTGTCTGCGGGGGCAACACCCAGGGCTGTCTGAAGAGGGAAGGAAAGGCAGTTAGCTGAAGATCAGCTCCAAAGTCTGCCCTTTTCAGTGTCTTGGGGCCAGCTGAGAGGAGAAGGCAGCAGTTGAAACCCCCTTTCCCCAGCTGCAATGGGCTCCTTTTGCCTCTCACCCCCCAGCAAAGCATCTTGCCGCCCTCCTGGGAAAGCTGGACGGGAAACTCCTGCCCTCCAGTGCTTGTGGCACTGGGAGGCTGGCAGGAGCTGCTGTGTGGGGTGCCCATCGCAGCTCTCCTGCACACATTGCAACACTCTTGCCCCCACCCCTGCCCACGGAAAGGGGGCAGCCTGGTCCTCTGAAATGCTGATGAGAGACCTGCCTGCCTGCTTCCCAGGCAGCAGATGAGGCTGCAACAGCTCCTTACCTGGCCCTGCCAGGCCCCGGGATGTCTGCAGCTCTGGGGAACTGCACACTGCAATAGAAGGTGTGGCTCTATGGGAGACCCCACGCAGACTAATAAGGCACTGATGGCTTGGGAGGGGCAAATCCCATTTCTGCCCTGCGGCGCTTAAGGCATGGGAACCATTGCCCGCTTTTTGGTGTTGGGCTCTCGGCTGCTTTCCGCGCCAGCCAGAGCACAGGGGAACTCCGTATGGCTTTGCATGTGTCACTGAGGACCAGGTGGAGAGGACGCTCTGAGGCGCCGCAGCCGTTACCGGCTGGAACTCGCCAGAACTCAGTTCCAGCACCTCTCGGGCGGGCACCATTGCCACTAAAAGAGAACCAGCGAGGCATTCATGGTGAGTTCCAGCACCTCTTTTTCTAGAAAAATAACACTGACCACAGCCTAGCCGGATGAGTGAGGGGCGGGAGCAAACTCGATTGTGCCAGGCGGGCAGTGCCACGTGGGGCACCGCGACAAAATGCAGGAAGCTCAAACTTGTCCAAGTTGAAAAGCTTGGCGCATGCTGGAGGACGAGGGCAAACGACCTCCCTCCCTCCACGGTGCTCCTGTGAACCCTGCCCTGGCTGGAGTGCTGGATGCTGCTATGGCATTGGGCATGGGGCACCACGCTACAGAGACCCACCCACCCCACGCCCACCCACAAGCAAGACAGGAGGGGAAGGGCAAGACAGGACAGTATCTTTGGTCACAACCTGCCTGGCCCAGCCCAGCCCAGCACCAGAAGCAAGAGAAGTCACGCGGTCACCCCGTTGCCCAGCCCTCGGCCTCAGAGCAGCCTCTTCAACGTGCCGTTGGGCCCTGTCTGAGATGCTCATCCCTGGAAAACCTCGGGCACAGCTCTGTCCAAGGGCCTCTCACGAATGCTGCTCTCCAGTCCTTTAAGTGTCCACCGTGCCCTTTCTCTCTCTCTGTCCTTCCACGTGAGGGCTGGGGAAGGTGGTGGGACGATGACAGGCCCTGCGTGGCTCCCATCGGTCTGTCACTTCCACAAAAAAAACCACCTTTAAACCAACTCCCTCCCACGTCTCCCCACCCCACCCCTATTTTCTTTTGGTAGCAGCAAAGCACCATTTGTGAGTGTTGTGTGTGTGTTTCTCTTTTTTTAAAAAAATCATAATAATAATAATAAAATAATAATAATAATAATAATAACAATAGATGTCTCTCAATTGGCCTGATGACAAAAAAATAAAACAGCGAAGAGTGTGGTTAAGAGGCAAGCCCGGCCTATGAGGAGCACTCCTGGATATTGAGGCCGGCTTCCGAGTGATGGTGCAGGTCAATGGGCTGCTGAGGCTGCTGGCCGGGCCGGTCGTTGATCAGCACCACGTTCTTGATGCAGCCCGTGATCCCTGAGATGTACTTTCCCGCGGTCAGGGTTTGGATGTCAGGTGCTCCGCCTGCGCAGGGGGAAAGGAAGAGCCGTCCGTCAGCAAGTGTGTTCCCTGAAGGGAAGAGGCTGTTGTCCTCTTTCTCCTCCTCAAGTCACTGGGAGGATTCGGGAGCCTGGCAGGGACCACAGCCTCCATCCCAACACTTTGATTTTCAGCATCATCACCGACGCTGCCTCATTTGGGCCATGGGATTTAATTGCACAGCATCCTTCAGAGAGGCGTGTAGACTTTTCAAGGTTCTCATATTGCTATCCCTTCATTCACATCTCGGGCCCACAAGTCACTTGCTACTGTCGCTGCCATGTGGACCACGTTTTTAAAATGAAATTCATGCAAGCTGCTTTCTATGTTTTCTTATGGGAAAATGTAGAAACATGATTAGGGAAATACATTAAAACCCTTTTGTTGTGTTTCTCCTGGGGTTTTTTTGTAGGTGTTCCTTTTTCAAAAAAAATATTTTATACTTTCCAGATATTTCACTGATTTTGCAACCATTTTAACATTTCAAAACTTGACCTGCAGTTCCTTGAATTTATTTTTAATATATTCTGCATATCCAAATTACTATATTGGCCTGAATATAAGCCTCATTTTTTTTCCAAATTCTGACTGTGAAAAGTTAAAGTGTGGCTTAAATTCGCGACCTTACAAAAATTGGCTTTTACGATAACGCTGCTGAAACAGACATATGGTAAAACGGAACAGGCGTGAGTGCCTGCAGAATTTTATGGGAGTGGCCTATATTTGGGTATTGTCTTTTTTTCTTTCCCCTCTTTGAATTTTAAAGGTGCGGCTTATACTTGGGTGCGGCTTATATTTGGGCCAATACGGTAACTTAATTTGCACATTTATTCCTCTCCTTTAAATATATACTCTTATGAAACTGCAGGTTATTACAATAATTCTGTCAATGTTCTTATCTGTTTACGATTTATCTATAAATAGTCAATAAACCATTTGTAGGAGGCGCTCCTGAAGAAGCATTGCTTAGCAAATCGATAATGTCCACCCGGGAACATCCTGTAGGGAGGGGTGGCCCTGAGAGTGCTCTGAAAGTGACAAGACATTGACACGGTCCAGACTGAAGTGTAAAGCTTTGAGGGTGAGGGTCCTTTGACCGTCCTTCCAAAATTCAGGAGGGCTGATGCCACAAAGTTGTCATGTGGCACCTGTGAATTTTACACTATTTGCATGGAAAGGCTATAGAAGTCAGGCAGCAACCAGTGTGGCAATCAACATTGAAAGGAAACATGAAAAGCAATGCCCTCCTGCATGGAGGGAACATCCTGTTCTGTTGCCTTAGGCGAAATGGGAAGGTGCTTCCACACTGCTGGAACCCTGACCTGGGTTCTGCGGCAGCACCTGCAAAGTGGTGCTGCCGACAGTGGATTCCAGCAAGATCTTGTGAGATCCTGGCAAGATCTTGCCAGAAGCTGCTGCCGCGGCCATCACCACTCAGTAGCGCATAGGAGTCACGAGTTCGAGTCCTACCTTGAGGCAAAAGGGTTCTGCATTGTATGGGGTTGGACTAGATCAGCCTTTCTCAACCTGTGGGTCCCCAGATGTTGTTGAACTACAACTCCCATCACCCCTAGCTAGCAAGGCCAGAGCTCAGGGAGGATGGGAGTTGTAGTTCAACAATATCTGGGGACCCACAGGTTGAGAACCGCTGGACTAGCTGTTCCTTGTGGTCCCTTCCAACTCTACAATTCTATGATTCTCTGGCCTGTTCCCACCTCATGGCTGTACCCCCGAGTGAAACATAACAGAAGAAGAAGAAAACCTACTCAGTTGATGAGGACTGCCGAAAACTAAATGAAAAGGGGAAGTGTGAAGCCCATACACCCAAAGTGGCCTGAAAGTGGTCCGGCTTTGTTGAGATGAAGGCGCTTACCTATATAGATTAGACCTTTGGTATTCACCATGACGTTCTTGCCAGGAGATTCCCCAGCTACCATCTCCTCGCCGTCGACTTGAAGGAAGCCTCTTTTCCCTTCCCTGGAGGAGGAACGGGAGAGTGTGTCAGAAGGACTAAGGTGGTTTTGAGTGAGGTTGGCTGGATTGGAGAGGATGAGCACGGATAAGGAAGTGCTTGTCGTCTGCCCGTGGGAACAGAACTGGAAATGTGGTCCAAGGATATTCCACAGGGGAATCCTCACACGGATCAAAATAATAATAATAATAATAATAATAATAATAATAATAATAATAATTTATTTATACCCTGCCCTCCCGGCCAGAGCTGGGCTCAGGGCAGCTAACACCAGTAAAATTACAATAAAAACATAATGGGGGGGGGAAACAATTTAAAATACAGGTTAAAAATACAATTTAAAATGCAGCCTCATTTTAATAATAGCCCATAGATCAAAACCGTAAGGGGAGGAAACATAAGGGTCAGACCGAGACCAAACCAAGGCCAGGTGGAACAGCTCTGTCTTGCAGGCCCTGCGGAAAGATGTCAAGTCCCGCAGGGCCCTAGTCTCTTGTGACAGAGCGTCCCACCAAGTCGGGGCCAGTACTGAAAAGGCCCTGACCCTAGTTGAGACCAATCTAACCACCTTGCGAGCTGGGACCTCCAAGGTGTTGTCATTTGTGGACCTTAAGGTCCTCTGCGGAGCATACCAGGAGAGGCGGTCCCGTAGGTACGTGGGTCCTAGGCCGCATAGGGCTTTAAAGGTCAAAACCAGCACCTTAAACCTGACCCTGTACTCCACCGGGAGCCAGTGCAGTTGGTAAAGCACTGGATGAATGTGATCCCGCGGCAAGGACCCCGTAAGGAGCCTCACCGCGGCATTCTGCACCCGCTGGAGTTTCTGGGTCAGCTTCAAGGGCTGGGACAGCATCCCCAGCCCCAGAAGCACACAAATTGCTCCTCAACCCGGCTTGTTCAGGGAACAGAGCCTATGCCTTTCTCCACCCCTAACGCTTGGGCTTGTCAAACTAGGGGTGTCCCAAGCCACATGTCTCCACACTTGTCTCACCGGATAGCTGTCACTCTATGCCATTCTCCATCATCAACTGGGTCTTCGGACAGAATGTTCACTTCTCCGCTTCCTAGCTGGTAACTGCAGGAAACACACGGTCAGTGTCAGAGAAGAAGAAGAAGAGTCTGGATTTGATATCCCGCTTTATCACTACCCAAAGGAGTCTCAAAGCGGCTAACATTCTCCTTTCCCTTCCTCCCCCACAACAAACACTCTGTGAGGTGAGTGGGGCTGGGAGACTTCAGAGAAGTGTGACTGGCCCAAGGTCACCCAGCAGCTGCATGTGGAGGAGTGGGGAATCAAACCCAGTTCACCAGATTACGAGTCCACCGCTCTTAACCACTACACCACACTGGCCACCCCGGAGCCCCAATGCAGAGCGGCCAATAGCGTGAGCTCTTATGCGGCCTTCCCTCACCTGAACACCAGGTGCCCGTCCTTCAGCCCGAGGCTGATGAAGTCCTTCGCTTTGGCGCTCTCTCCTTCCTCCTGTGACAGAAAACAAACATTGTTTCTCACCTTCTCCTTTCCTTAGGAGATGGCACCCCTAGGCATCAGTGGGGGGTCATCCCATAGAGGGAGAGAAGCCCATGAACTGCTATAGAACTGGCACAGCTTCAGGTGCCACATTTTACTTTGTAAGAAATTCGTCTTTGAGTGTGGCAGCACCGACACTTAGCAACCCCCTACCTACTGACATCGGTTGTGTGCCTTCACTGTACTCTATTTGGTGCCTGCTAAAAACATCTTTTTAAACGCAATTGCTTATCCAGACGTGTAAAAATGTTGACAGGTGTTTTTAGCATATGATTGATTTTAGTTAGGCTTAAATAAGAGCAATTCAACAGTGGAACAGTCCCTTGATAGGTGGCGGACTCTCCTTCATCAGAGGTTTTTAAACTGATGTTGGATGGCCATCT